CTTCACAGCAAGTAAAAGAGTGCTGTTTATGTCCTTAGATGGAGGTGGAGCGTTGTGATTTCTAGCCAGCGTTAAAACCAAACTTGCCCTTAAGTACAAAGTGTAAGGGAAATGTATGGCGGATGGAAATCTGTCAGGACACCATTACTGCCATAGGTCATCTTGGCATTCAATCGTTCATGTCTTAAGCCTCATCTGGGGCCTCAGCAGACCCAAACCACATCTCTTTGAATCCCCAGGTCACATTGAGACCCCCATATCTCAATCTTATTGCCCATCCAGCCATATTTCCTTTCTGGCTTATCCCTGGCCAGTTGGAAACATCAAGACTCCACATTTTCTTCTGCTCATTCAGAGCCATATCGGTCACCGCCAAACCCAAGTATGTTTAAAAGAAGGGAATGGGTTTTCAGGCTGCTTATGATGTTTGGGATCCACGCAGACATCTCCATGAAGTCAGAGGGAGGTATTGGCACTGCATGGTTGAGGAAGCAGTGGCGCCTCCATACTCAAAGCTTTACTGCTAGCACACTGCCTTATCACATTGGATTAGAGCTCCTGCAGTGACCTCGAAGCTAAGGATGATTGGTAGCCAACTTCACCAGTTTGCCCATGATGAACATATAGTGCTTCAGCGATGTAAAGACAGCGAGATGTTCGCAGGCAGAGCGCCAGTCACACTCTTATCTGGTGTTGGCACAAATAGCTCCTTGTCTTTTCTTTATTGACAGGACTGTGTCTTGAGCTCTCTTTGCTCCTCCTTATCTGGACATAACCCTCTTTTGTTTTTTTGTCCTTTCCAAATATGCCCCGTCCTCCCTCTCCCCAGCTGCGACAGAGTGATTTTCACTCTCTAAATGCTGACTTTTTCTGCAATAAACCAGATGCATCCAGGGGCCGTCTTTCTGATGTTGCAAGCATGATAGTTCTCCACAAATCTGGTTCTGATATCAATCACTACAAGCAAAAGAGAGGCTTTCATTGCCTTTTTTTATTTTTATAAAAGGCAATGAAATAAACTGGTGGACTGGCACTATGCTTCTGAAATCATTCTTAGCAATCAAAGATGGGTTTTAAGATATGTAAAGTGAGAAAAGGAAGGGTATTATATGGACTTGAATTTGATAAGCAGGGATTCAGGTGGTGAACGTAATCCCTATTTTATGGAGAGGCCTCCTTCATGTACTTGACCCAGGTCAGTGCATGAATATAAACTGGCTATATTATGGAGCTTGTGTCATGCCTTTTCTCTTTTTTTCTTTTTCTTTTTTGGAGCTCAAATCAAAACATTTTTAATTTGATTGTGCTTTTATATCTGAAAGCAACCCTCATTTATGTGCCAGATATGAATCTGTTTCTTTTAGATATACCTAGTACCCTGTAAGCAGTTCCATCCCTGGGCACGAATCAAAATATCCTTGACTTAAAAAGTCCATCTGCTTCGCTTTGATTGAGCATATAGTTCACTGTTTCCCTCCACCCCTCTCATCCCTAGTTTCCAAGTACGATGAAGCCTACATCCTGCATTTAGAGGCTTTTAGGAAAGCCCTGTCATTCAATAAGAGACTACTGGGGCAGCATGCTCACGCTTATCTGCACTTTAGTTTCTACTTTCTGGCCGGTGGGCAATATAAGGGCCAGGTAGCAGGGCCTGGCTCATGCGGTTGTCCGTGGACGACCTTGCTCTCCTCACCTACTGCCTTGGAGTGGCTCCCAGTCCTGGGATGGGGGCTTTGGACCAGCACCAAGTCTCTACCCCCACAGATGTTACTGAGCCACCAGATATTATGTCAGTTTCTGAGTGATGTATCACACTCTTCTGAGTAGCAGTGCACCTGCAAAGTACCCATGATACATGTGACAACATAGGAAATCAGTTAAGTAACCCAGTCCCTAAAAGACTTAGTTAAAATGTTATAATTATGCCTCTGCCAGTGACGCACTGATCGTTCATCCCAGAGATTATCTACCTCCTAAAGGACAAGGTAAAGAACAAAGTGTTTATCATCAGGGATGACTAACGTAGAGCTTACATTTAAAACAAAACAATACACAAATGTTTCTTGTTTAAGCATTAGAATAAAAAAATATTTATTTGGCTTGAAAACATGCCACATGTAATTGTTTCAATTCATTCACATAGAATTATATTAGCTCTTCAAATTTAATTTCACAGTGCTAACATTACAAATATCCACATGTGTATTGTGTTTCAAAGATGCCTGGCACTTGTTAGAAATGTGTTCTGTGAGCAGGGTTTTTACACTTCATTTGTGCTTTTTTTTGCTTGAGTTTCTTTTTCTTGTGCCCCTCCAGAATATTTTTTAGGCTGAAAGCACAATAATTAGTCTTAATTCGATTAGTGTAATATATATAAAATATATTTCTTATGGGGGACATTTTTTGGATATGTTTTGACCCAAAAAAGCATTTAAAATTAAGTCATGGAAAGCTTTTAAAATGACTTTGAAACAGAAGAGCAAGCTCTTGTGTACACTCTGCCTGTATTAGTGGTACCACTTAACAAAAAGTTAGTCTAAATGTCAGAGCAAGAATAATTTTCCTCATCACTCAGGTTCTGTTTATATAAAATGATAAAAGCGCCCAAACCTGCAAAGCTCCTACATGTCTTTGTAGAACAGGCAAAATATTATAATGGGGAGAAAAAAAACAACAACATATTTTTGCTATTAACGCTATAAACATGATGATGTGCTCACAGTAATTGATTTAATGAAGTTCCTATGAAACTAAAACCAAGTAGGCTACAGGTCAGTAGAGTAACCCCCCCTGCGTGCCCACTGTCAGATGTTTAAAGTCCCGGACTCCTTTGGGAAAGACATCAGGGCTAATAGGTGAAACCACAGCTGTTGATGTCGGGCTGAAGAGGAGCGACATGCAGAAGTCCGAGAGCACCGAGTGTAAAAGCAGACGAAGAATTTTCACTTCTCCAAGCGTTCCCAATCCATGTTTCTGGAAAAAGATTCATTTCCCCTCCTCAACAAAAAAAGAAGAAAAAGAAAAAAACGCAGATGTTTTAAATCGCATCCTTTAACTTGGAATTCTAATTTTTTCCTGCAGGTTGGAGTGCAAAGTATAAAACTTAATGGCTGCAGAGCAAACTGAAAAAGGGGCACTTTGATTCTGCTGGAGGAAAAAGAAGAGAAAAAAAAGGAGGGGGTGGGGGGTATCGGCTCTAAAGGCAGCCTTGGAGTTGCGAATGTGGAAGTTAAGCGGGAGCCGTGCAACTGAAACTGAGCTGCCTTGTTTTCTGACATGCTCATGAAACTTAAACTAGCTAGTAACCAGGTAGGGAGCTTTGAAAAATGGCAAAATGCCTGCACTGCAAATATGAAGCCAGTAACAACAAAGTTCCCACTCACAAAGTTATGCGCACAAACAGGTGGAATCCTGTGGCAAAGACGCTCTTTAAAGCTGTAAGTGCAGAGAAACTGAACGTGCTCGCAAGTTACCACCATCATTCAGAAACATCAGTCTCCATTAACATTTGGCTCCACAGCAAGAACTGGCAGATAATGTAACGCTATTATCACTGTCTTTTTACTGGCTGCTAGTTTATAAGGTTGATTCTCTTACTGATAGGAAATATTTAAAAATAAAATAAAATAAAAACCATTTCCACCCATCAGGACGTTTGTTTGAGCTGAGTAGGTGAACTGTGCACTTACTTTAATAAACTGGTATCCATTTGACGTGAAATACCTGCAGAATCTCGACATGTCAGATTTATTTAGCCATATTCCGTGTCTTATTTACTGGAGTGGTGGCTTACGATTATCACCCTCGTCTTCATTCTCATATTGAGGAAACGGGGGAAGTGTGATTTATTTATTTTTAGGTGAGATGGTAAAACGGGCCAGAGGTATCACAAGGTGTTGCTGTTCTGCTGTATGTGAATTCTGGGAGGTGAGAGGGGGTTAGTGTGAAGAGGTGCCGTTTGCGTCTCCGCACCTGATTTCTGCTTCCCCAAAACTAAAAGTAAAGTTAATCAAAAAATATTTTTTTAAACTCAACTTCTTTATCCTCCCTCTTCTGTCTCTCCTTCTTCTTGTACTTTATTCCCCCCAAACCCAAGAGCACTTTTCTGTTGCCGTAAAGGTGATCCATGCGCACTGCAGTTTCTGGCGCAGGTACTCGGATCAAATCTCTTGCAGTCTTGAGTCAAGACTCTTAACTTTTGTGACCAAAAAAAAAAAGATCACTTCACATGCAATTTTGGCGAGCATTGTGCCGGTAGTATTCAGGAGATGGATAATGCTTGTAAACTCTGACAAGACGGCGTTTGTTTTGCCTCCACGCTCGTCTGAGAAATTATCGTTCAACCCCCTTTTAAAGGGGCGCGATTGAGAAGCAGCGGCGCTCTCACTGCGACTTCTTGCTTTGTCCTCTCCCAAGTGGCGTCTGCATGTCTGACTCTGCCGGTTACTGATTTGCAGGCAGTATGTTAAGGTGGCCCATGTAAGTGATTTCCACGGACATCCCTCTTAAGGAGAACAAATCGTTGACAAAGGAGTGCCTTTCCAATTCAACAGCGTCGTTAGGACAACCAAAAAAGTATTTCTCAGATAATAAGTTCTACTTCAAAGCGTTTCTCACTGAAGGGTGACCGCTTCACTCCTTTTTTAAATGAACTCTCCCTCCTTTTAATGTCTCTGGTTATTTTTCATCGTGTTTATTTTGTAACATTCATTGAGCATTTGTTTCCAAACAGGACATACAAGAGCACGCTACTCTCTTGGCCCCTACCCCTTCTATATATATAAAAAAGAAAAAAGTCGAGGCACAAAACAAGAAGAGGCCCACAAGTGCGTATAGTTTGAATGAAGCGGCAGATAAAGTGTTCTCTTTTCTCCCCCCATTTTTCTTTCTTTTTTTTCTTGAGAAGGCAGCTGTAAAATTGATCAAGCTTGTGTAATACAAACTTGCCCTTTTATTAAAGCTTTGCGGTGCTGCTGTGATTATTTTTATTATTATTATTATTATTATTATTTCCTCTTTGGCTGTAAAATTTGGTTCATTTAATGTTGTTTTACGCGCCGGTGACGATTCCCTTGTGCGCCTTTTATTGCCTCAGTCCCCAAATCCTCCCAGGCTGATCCAAGTCAGGTGTATTATCAGTTAAATCTCATAATCATTTCTCATTGTTCTTTTTTTATATGCGAGTGTTAGTTGATAACAATTTTTCTTGTTGTGATCACAGGAATCTAGTTGCACACATACGCTCACAGACTGGTTGGAATTTAGGTGCCAACCTGCCAAAGGTATATTTGTGACAGCACACACATTTCTGGAGAGGGTACATCCTATGCTTTGATTATAATTCATTTAGTGGCAGTTAGCATTTTTTCTCTCCCCTTTTAACCGGACATATTCAAATGCGAGCGTTTCACTACCCAATTGCCATAGAAATCCTAACGCACCATGAAGACTGTCAAAGCAGCCAGCCTTCCTCTCAGAGGCTGCAGCCTTTGAAGTGGTGCAGAACTGGCGTTGGTCAATTTTAATTCTATAGACTGGACAGGCAACTCTTTGAAAGTGAGATTTCGCGTTTTAATGGAGGAAATAAGAGGGGGAGCTTGTTTTATACACTCTATACAAGGCTCTGCTTATTGTCGGATATCTTTTTATCTTTTATTTTTCCCATGAATGATTCATGCCTCGGCTGCTTTGTGCCGTCGCGCCTTTCAGAGGTAGCGCCATCAGGGGGCTATAAGTTTTCCCATTAGCTCAGTGATTAGTTTGTACCAGCCTCCTTGGCCCGTTAGGCCTGTTTCTGAGAAGAGCTGGATATTTTATAGAAACGTCAGTAAGGCAGGTGAAGAGAGCTGCTTCAGCTTTTTCACTCGAGGTGAGACTGATGTTGATGTTTTGCAGTCACTGTGTCCACGTTAGAAAGACGTCTGCTAAATCACATAGCGTAAAATAATAATAATAACAAGAAGAAGTACAGGCACAGTCCTCCTATAAAAACTTCTAAGGCCAAAACAAATGACCCCTTATAATCAAACTCACCCTTAAATCATGTTAATGATATAATGTGACACTTATTTACTGTATATGTCCTGTTTTTATTATTAAATTTTAGCATGATTTTTTTTAATATTGTAAATTAATTCTTGAACATCAAAGGTCTGCACAATCATAGCTGATTCATCTCTCTCTCTTTTTCTCCATCCATTATTATCCAATGGCACCATGCACCTCAATATGAAAGACAGATCACTACAAAAGGCATGCGGGGGGAGAGGGACTTTTCACATTACACAGCCTATTCAAGTAAATGTTTCTTCTTTTACAGAGCACAAATAAAAAATATAAACTCAAAAAGTTAAAAGGTGAATCTGAAAAAACAAACAAACAACAAAAACAAAAAAACAAAAACCATCAGCAGGGTACTATGCATCACCAAAACTGATATTATTATTCTTTGGTGTTTCTGTAATTCCAGTACAACATTGAAACCAGCAAATAAATTACAATGTACAAAACAACATTTTTTTTCCTTGTAATTAAAAACTACACAACATTCACAAGCATCAGCACAATTACATATGTACAAATCCTACAGGATCAAAGCCTGTCAGTGTAGACATTTAGGGTCTCAAGGGACTTACTGGACTCTTTAACAAGTGTTAAACTTGTGTATTTTGCATAAAATATAGTCTTAAATAGTTCTTAAATATTACAAAATTCAATCCAAACACATGTATAAATCTGATAAGGTAAATGCGAACCCTTAAGACACTCAGATGTTTGCCTCCTCTCCTGTTTTTTTTTCTTCTTATTAGTTTTTTCAAAGTTTGTACCACATTTTAAAGAGATTAGCTGAAATAGAAAAAAGGCCTCCTCTCTAGCCTCTAGATTTTTTTAAAATTCATTATTTCTACTTGTGGAGCTACAAGCAGTACCTTCTCTTTAATGTGACACTGATTGATTGCAGTGAAGTTATTAACTGCAAGAGGATGTGAAAGATGTCATTTCAGCACACCAGTGGAGTCTTGAGTTATGCAGTTAATTAAATCCTGCATTCATCTCGTGGAAAAAAATACACACACATTAATCTAGTTCTAGTCCGACCTGATTCAAAGAAAAAAAATATATATATATTTTTTGGTTCTTTCAAATTGGAAGCAAATTTTGTTCTTTCTTTCAACATCAAATCTCCGTTTTAAACTGATTGTTGGACAGTTGTGAATTACATGTTAGGTTAAGGTCAGGGGTCATCTGGGTTAAAGGGGACAAAAAAATCCTTTCTTGTTTGATGAAGCTACATTGCATCCACACTGAATGTAATTTTGCTGTTTTTTAGGACAGTCAGTTAGTATCACTACTGATCAATATCTCAAGTGAACAGGGTGGGGGAACAACACAGATGCACACTTTAACGGGTCAACTAGATGACAAGTTTGAAAGTCCCCATGGATGTATACCAGGTATCAGAGCATTGTCCTCGGGTCTGAATTTCTGAAAGAGTCCTCGTCGTCTGAATCTGTAGTTGGCACGTCGCTGGAGGGGGTGTGAAGGTGGTTGGGCCCTCCGCTCCCCTGGCACACGTACCACTCGTTGAGGTTGGTGACCTGAGGGGAGAGGTTCGAGGAGCGGTTCCTGTGCGGTTCAGAAGTGGGCGAAAGAGGGTCTCCGAGAGGGTTTGTGGAGGAAATATAGGTGACATTGGTGGCAGGGGGCGGAGGGGACTTGCAGTGCACTTTCATGTGTTTCCGCAACGAGCTCGGGTGTGTGTAGGATTTGTCACAGCCGCGCACTTTGCAGTAGTAAGGCTTGTCGCTGGTGTGGACGTGAGAGTGCTTCTTCCGGTCGCTGCTGTTGGCGAATTTTCGGTCACAGCCGTCAAACTCGCACTTGAAAGGTTTCTCTCCTTGAAGAAATGAAACACACAGATACTGTTACGAGTGATAACATCACGAAGTTAAAGCTTTATGGCTTTTGTTTTTGTTGTAGTTTTTTTAATAAGTCAGAATAACAACTGGAATTGAATGCTCTGTACCTATTATACCACAACTTGTCAGCATTCCACCTTAAATAAATACAAGTGTTCAGTGTAGAAGCCTGTATGCCTCCGCAGACTAAACGTCCATTACACCCACTGCTCCACACCCACGTTATATTCCCGCGTGAACACGTGTAACATGCCTTTAGGCCCCTCTAGTTTACAGGGGATGTGTGTATGTAGTTGAAAAGGGGGCAGTTCGGAAAACACCAGGAGACCTATATGTGCCGTACTGGTCTATTTCTCCCACACACGCACACACAAAGATACATACAACCCTGTCACGCACAACAAACAAACAACAACAAAAACCCAGAATGGAATGTGAAGTCTAATGCATCCTGTATATTCATAGCAATAATTGGTTAGAGTATTTCCAAAGGGTTTTCCACGTTTTTTCTTCAGTGAATTATTTATTTCCCCTGTGGATTTTACATAATTCAGTTAGGCGAAGAGGCCTATTTATACTGGTGGCAAAAAGCCAAAACTGGGCTATTTACTGGTCAAAATTTGACTTTCAGTCTATTTAAAAAACATAAACAGCTCTCATAAAGAACACACATTACAATTTAAGGAAGTTGTTCGGCTAAAATTGACTTTCTTTATCTCTCAGCAGCTCTGCCAGACTTTAGTAGACAGAATATGAGAGCAAACTGTCTTTCTCTAAAGGCACTCTCAGAGAGGTAGTTGTAAATATTTTGCACCCCCGATAGGTTACCAATAAATCTGTCGAAGCCTAAAGCATGTGTTTTTTGTTTAAATGCCATCTGCCATGTGCATACACTCATCATCAATATATTAACCGTGCTTTTGCGTAAGGATCCTACGCCCAAAGACAATTACATTTACGCGTGTTCTGTCGCTGTGCTGTAGGTACGTAAGCACGTTTTACAAATCATATGCTCTAATCCTTTCACGCCTACTGCGAGTGTCTTGGTGAGTAGGGGAAAAAAAGTTTATATTTAAGAAAGAAAATGGAACACGGTAACTCACCACGCGAATTCTTTAATCAATAAAAGTCTTTTTTTTTCTCGCTTCTGCGCGCAATTACGCACGATCGTTTCATAAGTCCGTTTCGAGTGTGAACAGTAAAACAAGATCGCCTCAGACATAGTCTCATTCTCTGCAACCAAGCCATGTTTTTTTCAGACTGTGGTGCGTATTCTTTATTCAATTTGAAGTACTGACCTGTGTGTGTTCTCTTGTGAATTTTTAGATTCTCCGATCGCGCGAACACTTTCCCACATCCCGGGAAAGGACACGGGAAAGGCTTTTCTCCCGTGTGAACTCGGATGTGGTTTATCAGTTTGTACTTCGCTTTGAAAGCTTTTCCTTCTCGTGGACATTCCTCCCAGAAACAGACGTGGGTGCTCTGCTCCGGTCCCCCGACATGCTCCACCGTGACGTGGTTAACCAGTTCGTGCATGGTGCTGTAAGTTTTAGAGCAGGGCTTTTTTTGACTTTGCTCCTGGTCGATCCATTTGCAGATTAGCTCTTGCTTTATGGGCTGCCGCATGTATCTTAAAAACGCCCCCGCGGCTCCGTGAGGAGCAGAAGCGATGTTCACACTGAGGTTCATGGAGTTGTAGCTGTGGAGAGAAGACGGTCCATAGTGCTCTGGCCTGTGCCCGAAGTGCTCTGGCCTGCCATAGATGTCCCCCGGTATACCCAGGCGCATCTGCCCGTTGAGGGCATGGTGGTGGGCACCTGGGGACGCCTGGTCGTGAAGTCCAGTGAAAAGTGAATGGGCCCCACTTTCCGTGTGCCCATAAGCACCTGTTGGGGAGATGAACATGCCATGGTGATGAGGGGAGGAGGCGGAACTATGCTGGTCGCCAAGTGCATGCATAGCAGAGGCTGAGAGTTCTCTCCTGAGGATGAAGTCCCTGCTGCTTGAGTAGCCTGAGTGGGGGTGAGCCACGGGGAAACCAACTGTGGTCTGAGCAGAAGTGAAAGATGCCGCTGTCTGGGCTTCGGGATGGCTCTGAATGTGCTGAGATGGGCTAAGTTTGAGAGCATTTGTCTGTGCCATGTGCTCTGGTCCAAATGGAGTGAGTGCCACTCCGGGGTCGTTGCCCAGCTCCCCAGGGTGGAGGTGGGCATGGTGGGAGAGAGGGTGATGCCCCCCTAGCCCCGGGAAGCCTGTCATATTCTGATGAGGAAGGGGTTGAGTCGCTGCCAAATCCGCTAATCTTATCGCCGGATTCCTCTTGCTTAAAGGGGGTTCCATAACTACACTGACAAGTCCATCCGCACTCACCGCAACTGTTTTTTCCCCACCACACTACGCTCTCTAAAACATTAGGAAAATATGTATATAAGGGGTCTATAAGTTCTTTTGTCCGGCTTCTAACTCTGCTTGCTCCTTTTCCCACTCTGTCCTCAAGCGATTGGCAGAACATACAACAGTTGGAGGACACAGTGGGGAATACAGTTTAGAAATGGCACTGCGGGTATTGGACGGATTTCGGTGACTGGCAGTTAGGAGAACGAAGCGATTGGCTGTCGTTCAGCGCAGGGGCTCAGCAGGGTTCCGCCCCCTCACTCTCTTTATTGCTGTTGACTCCAAAAAGTTGTACTCAAAGTTACCAGCAGATCCGTTTGGGCGGCTTTGTGTTTACTGCTGCTGGTGCATGTGGATGACCAAAATAACAGTTTGTGTGACATGTCAAACCTTAGTCTACTCCGGCTTTGGTTTATCCACAATTTTTGTTGTTTTTTTGGGGTTTGTTTTTTTTTTGGGGGGGGGGGGGCGCTTGTGGATGCTGTGAAATATTTCAAGTATTGATATGTACAAATATTCAAATGTGAAGTGAGTTCTGTTTTTTTTTTTAAATTATTCATACGTACAAAGACGTAGTATAATTTGTCACAAAATACAAGAGTGAACGCCCCACGTTCCTGATAAGTGGAAGTTATGCAAATCTTAATTTAAAGTAAAACACAAATACAATTAAACATTAATGCATAAAACTGTTTAAGTACTCAGTGTTATATACACATGACCGATTTCCCCCATATATTGATTAATATGAAATAACTTTGTGTTTACAGGCAGTCATTTAATTTTAATGTTGAAGATTAACAATATATATATTTATGTTCACACATTTTACCCCACCCACCACACACAAAAGATGGGAAAAAACTACAAAAACTATTACAATTATTAAAAATAAAAATTTTATAAATAGAAAATGTAAGCCAGGTTTGTTTGTTTTTTTTGCTTGAGGTGTTAGGGTCCAGCAGCACACTAGGACAAGAGTAGCAGAGCCTAACCTTTCGTTTTATTTTAGCGAACTGCAAAGGCAACACTTATTTTTAATGTATTTATTTTTACACCCTTCTCCTCAGTTCATTTCACCAGCTCTTTATTTTTTTTACCATCTTTTTTTTAAAAAAAATATTGGTTATGACTTAGGTTGGCAGACATTTCAGCTGTATTTAAGTTTACTTCATATGACAGATTATGGCGTGACGGTGTAACCCCTGCTGACAGCAGTACGTGTATCCATCACTGATATGTCTTAATTCACCTTTCCAATCGAATTGTGATGTCTCGCCTCAAACCGCAAATCAGCATGTCAGCTAGTTGTGTCAGGAGTTTTATTGTACACCTTAAACAAAAAAGAAGCCGACTTTGAAAATAGAGAGAATCTAAAATATTTATTAAGCAGTGCATTTTTCTTCCCCACGGACACTGAAGTTTTGTAATTGATTTTCATTATGTTGGAGGAAAACCTCTACACGTTATGGTCCTGTTGCACGTGCCCCCCTGCTGAACTGATTTATGAGCTTGATAATCAGCAACTGAAGGTTTTGCTTTAAGACCTTTCATACGTACAAATAGGGCGCTGCAGTGACATTAAGTATATATATATGTGTGTGTGTGTGTGTGTGTGTGTGTGTGCGTGTGTGTGTGTGAGAGAGAGAGAGAGAGACAGAGAGAGAGAGAGAGAGAAAGAGACTTTTCAAGATTAGCAGTTATAGGCACCCATATTATTGTCGCTTGTTGTGTCAAATGTATTTTTATGGGAATTGTAAATTCACACACAAAAACATCCACCCACGACCACGTGTGTGTACCGACTGTGCTCTTTATTAAATAAATAAATTATTCCCTTCTCCAAAGAGAGCTTCTGGAAATCCATAAAACACAGGAGAGTAGTGAGTGCATTGTTTATGATTTCTCCAAGGGCCCCTGATTTACGCTCACCACATTAAGCAGCACATTGGGTTTAATATAATTTACACACTTAGAAATTCATAAAACAAATGTCTCACTTTGGTGGTAAAGCACTGGTTGCTAGTTGGCTATAAATATTTTTGCTTTGAGCGTGGCAATTTAAGGATATTATGCACATTACATATCCTGGTCACTGGCACGTAGTTTCCCTATTTCTAACATGAATCCTATTATAAAATGATTAAAAAGGAAATACATTTTAAAAAGTAATAAATAAATGGAGTTTGGGATTTGTTGAATCGGTGTAGGAATGGGTTAATTTTTATTTACTTATAGTTTCCAAATAACCCAAAGCTGTCGATGCCTCAGACAGAAGAGGGGGGCGTCTTACTGCTCTCTCGCTCTCTCTTATTCTCTCTCTCTCGCTCGCTCTTTCTCTCTCGCTCCCTCTAAAACAAAGACGCTTTGTCATAAACAGGGTTATTTTACCAAAAGGAGTCAAGAGGGCAACATATGTGGTCTTAACAGGTCAGAGGTCAAACATGCATGAAACACAAGGTCAAGCAAGCCACACAAGTAACCTTGCAATGTGTCAACATATTGATACTGTCAGACAACGGAGAGGAGAAATATGCCTTTGGCATCCATTATAACACACGGGCAGAGCGCCCCTTGCGCGATCGGGATTGTTGGGTTTAATGTTATAAACCTGTCAGATGGCTTTTTCTTTTTTTTTTTTTTTTTTGTATTTTTGTCAGCTGTAACTGTAGATTGTGTGTGTAATATTTCACGTGATTTATTTGTTACGTGTGTGAGCATAGTGAGTATTGGTACTTCTAAAACCTGTTGAAATACTAGTCTGTGGGGGATTTTGAATAGGTTGGAGGCTTTTTCTTTTCCAGGCAGAAGGGAAAACCCACAGCCTCTTGATGATTGATTTTTTTTCTCAAAATTTTCTTTCTCCTTTCCCCTATCTGGGGAAGGTTTTTGTGTGTTTTTTTTTCTTCAGAGAAATAAAGAACTTCTTATAGGGGTCGGCAGACGTGACTTTGAACTTGGATCAGCTCCTGCGTTTCCTGTGGTGCGAGTTGAAATAGACTTGGAAGAATGGCATACAACGCTCAGCCTGTCCCACTCAGAGCTAGGAGACACAATTAAAAAAAAAAAAGTTTTTAAAACGTTTCCCTGGTCTTCACCATTATTTGTCGTCTAGAGTGCACCGGAGAAGCTGAGACAGGCAGAAAGCTGTGTTGTGTGACGGAACCGCAGAGCTTGTGGGATTTTTTTAGGGGGTGAAAATGTAAGTAAACTTCCTTTGACTTGCATGTGAATAAGCAGCTTTGGTGCACGGCCTGTGTATTTATGTGGCTACAGATTCAGTGTGTGTTTGTTGTGGGAAGGTGTCAGTAAATAATTCACAGAAGTATTTTGGAGTATTTGACTTCTATCTGTCTGGCTGCGTGGGACACCAAAAAGGGGGAAAATGAAAGAAGAACAAGAAATCCAATGTAGACATTACTGTGCTAACGTGGGGCAAAAAAAATCGACTTTTTTCTTACAAAAACACACCATATGTCACTATCAACACATCCTACTTTATGGCCGAAAATGCGTCACTGACAGTTCAACACAACCTCTACCTTATAGGTCACTAAGGGTTAACTTTCACCTTAGCCCAGTTCACCGCTGTAACATGTAACTTAATTGGTGTGGTAAAGTGAGAACCACCAACGAAGCAGAACTAGCGACATATACAACCACTAAAGAAACCGTCAGCCACCACTGACGGCTGCCCGGGTGAGACCTGGAGAACCACTAAAGGCCCAGTTGTGGTTGTACAACCAGTGGAAAACCACTGGACTCCATATGGAGCCACACATGCTTTTTCAGCTGTCATGAATTAAGTGACTCAAACTTTATTTATTTTTTTCTGGTAAGGATGGATAGATGGTTTTTTTTTCCTTTACTGAGATGATATGACTGTATAGCGTTGTGGTTAATTGACAATTTATTTTTGATGTCAGTTTCTGTAAATTAAATACAACATCAGCGCTTTTTAAAAACAGGGATACAGTAAAACACAGACCACTTACGTCACATCTACAAAACTACCTAATCAATACCTTAATCCATTATGTCAACTCTTACTTTTTACAATCTTCACTATTTCTCATCAAATGCTGTGTTTGTATCCTTCATACTACAACTTCCCTCAGAATATAAACAACAAAAACAGCTCTCCTCTCTCTTGTCGTGATCCTTTCGCCCGCACACCTCCCAAATCTTCTCCTAAAAGTAGGCGGTAATTATTAGTGGAAAATGGCGTTGCGCTATTAAGTCGCCAAAGCGCTACCTGCTATTGGAGGGGCACCTGGGATTGATGAGGCGCGGCGGCCAATGAGACTGCGAGGAATGAATGAACGCTCTCCAGTTAAAGGGGGCGGAAGAGGAGGTAGAGCCAGTCCACGGAGAAACAGGGACCCTCCGCGATAAACACGGGCAAAGCCAGAGAAATAAATACGTGCGCGTTTGGGAACGGCGTTTTTTGAGATGCCCCAGCTACTATCTCTCTGCTGTATGCAGAAGGCACCTAGTACGATAATTATTTAATTCTTCGAGTCAATTTTAACGCAAAAAAAAAAACAAAACAAAAAAACTGCCGTAGTCAAGAGAAGAGGACACGAGGAAACTCTTGGATTTTTAAGTCACAAGTAAACTAGAAGTAAATTCAGTGTTCGATAAGCCGAGATTCCCTCTTTTATTTTATTTTCTTTTTTTTTTTACATTTTTATTTTCTTTTCTTTTCTTTTTTTCAACTCTTGAGCGGAGCAGCGCTTTGAAACACGCCTGATATGTTGTTTCCAAGGCTGGAAGTTCAATCGTCGCGTGCCAGCACCGAGATTTGATTTTTCCGTCTTCTTCTTTTACTAATTTGCTGTAGCTTCGAGCTCTGCGCTGGTGTTTTATATTTAAAAAAAAAAAGAAATCGCTTTGAAGACATAATGCTACTGGATGCTGGTCACCAGTTCCCAGGACTCGGAGTGGGCTCGTTTGCCAGGCATCACTCAGCCAGCGAGATGCAGGAGAGAGACTTGAGTTTGGCACAAAATAGCTTTGTTGACTCTGCACACATGGGTGCGTTTAAGCTGAACCATGATCTCTCCCCAGGACAGAGCTCTGCCTTCACCACCCAGGCGCCGGGCTACCCCGCAGCGGCTCTGGGGGCTCACGCCGCCCATGTCACCTCGTATGCAAGCTCCCCTTTCAACTCCACCAGGGACTTTCTCTTTCGTAGTCGCGGCTTCGGAGAATCCTCTCCGGCGAGTAGCCAACA